CAAATTTCTTGACCGCTTTCTCTCTCCACTGTTGTCTTTTTCTTCTGTTCTTTCTCATCAAGTGTCTGTTAAAACAGCAACTTACTTCAGCTCTGCTCTCAGGCCATTGGCTTTAAAATGTGTAGTTGGGAAGAATTTCCCCCCAGTTACCACTCTTCCCTTCTGCAGGAAATTTTCCTCCTTTGTCTTGTTAAAGCTATTTATATATATATCAGTTTTTCCCAGTATGTGTTTTATTTGGTAGACTAAGGATACAGAAATGCCTTTTATTTATTTAATCTCTTAACTATAGTGATTTTGTCTTTAGCTTTGCCCCTGGTTTCATTTAAATAATTTGACACCAACCTGGTGGGAGTCACGGATACCTTCCTTTGATGTCTCACAGTGCAGTCCTCTCCTCTGAACAGAGGGCATACCTGTCATTGAGCATGTATGTGCTTTATGTTAACAATCTGTATGACCGCCTTTCCATCAACCTGTGAGAGATTAGAGACCACGGTTCCTCTCAGATATGCTTGTCAGATTTTTGTTTCTGCAGCTTGTCTTAGTGCTTCTCAAAGTGCAGTCTCTTGACCAGCGGCAGCAGCAGTACCACCTGGGACACTGCCAATTTGATATGCAAATTCCCAAGCCCATCTCCAACCCTGCTCAGTCAGAAACTGGGGATGGGACTCAGTCATCTGGTCGGTGTTTCTGATGCCTGCTAGTCAGAAACTGCTGCTTTGGAATAAGGTTGTGGGTTGGGTGTGAAGTGGGTGTTTTTGATGTCCCTTACTGGGATTACATTAATCAATTTTCTACCTTTTAAAACTTTTTTATTGTGGAAATTTTCATGCAAAAATGTTGAAAGCATATCGTGGATGAAAGTATAATGATCTAACAGTTGTAACATTTCAAGATGTTTGCTTCATCTACCTTTTTTTCCCAATGAACCGTTTCAAAGTCAGTTGTAGACATGACACTTCATTCTGAATATTTCAGCATATTCCTCTAAGTTGCCACAATACCATTATTACATCCAAGAAAATTGTCAGTAATTTCAAATATTATCATATATTATCCATATCCAGATTTTTTCCAATTATCCTCTTAATGTTTTTTATAGCTTTTTTTAAAAAAACAGGATCCAGTCAGAGTTCACACATTACATTTTATTGTACTGTATCTGTAGTATCTTTAGATTTAGAAGAGTGCCCTCACTGTTTCCTTCTTTTCTCCTCTCCCTGCCCTCCTCAGTAATAATGGATTTTGGAGAGTCTTATTGTCTTGTCGATTTGTATGCTTGTTGTCTTATTGTGTTCTGGATTTGTCCAGTTATTTACTCATGGTGTCAGTTAATTTAGGACAAGTTTCGCTTTAGATCTCATGGGCAGTTTTCAAGTCTGTGGATGAGCTTGGAGGCAAGGACGTCAGTGAATTCCCTGAGAGTTCGTGCAGGAGTTTGTGTCCTGTACATACGTTTCTTCACTGCCAGGAGAAGAGCACGTAAAAGGACTCTCATAATTTTAGATTATAACTGAGGGGTGTGACAGAGAGGGAGAAAAGGAATTAGTTTTGCTGCTTTTTAGCCACATCTAATTTATAATATTATTCATGGCTATGAATGTACAAATATTTATGAATTGTCACCTATGCCATTATTATTGTAAACTAATACATCAGTTCAATTAAAAGCAATCTAAGTGATTAATTGACTTAAGGCTGACTACATTTTGTGCCACCTTGACACAGGATGTTTTCCACATCTTAGAATATCCTGAGTAATTCCTGGATAAATGTCTGGATACTGGGGCCCCATTTAATTGAAATATGGGGCAGACATTGGGAAAAGGCAATTTACAGTAGGTGCTTTAATCCTCGACTGGTGCGCTGTACTCAATATTGTGTAGACGTGCGGTTAAGTTCTAAGTCAGGATGTGTCTTTGGACTGAAAATAAGGGTGTAGATGAAATGATTTCTGTTCAGTTAGGATTTGAAAGCTTTACTGTCTTTGTTTTCACTATTCAGTTTGTTACATAAATGTTTTTGTTTAGGGAACCATATGTGCTATATGAGTAGGATATGATGCAAACTATATCTCTGTGTCTTTATAGATCTATATCTATATCTATATATCTCAAGTCAGAAACAGAAGCTGTCCATTGCGCTGCTGGCACTGCGACCACGAACACAGAGGCAGCACCCCTAATAGACGTAGGGATTTGGGGGGATTTTAACAGGGAGTGGCACTGAAGCACACGGAGCCTGGAAAGATAATTAGGAATTCACCAAAGGTAGAGAAAATTGGAGAGAGGATATATTTCATAAAATATGTTATTAAACTTTTAACTCCACTTTATGACCTGCAGGTGACGAAGGGAGTATGCCCGCAGATATAGCCACGTTACTAAAGACGTCAATGGGCCTGTGAGAGGAATTGTGAGTTCCTAACTGAAGAGGAAATATCAACTTGGTGCACTCAAGGACATTTACATTATGATGACCATGGGGTTTATGAACATTTATAACTTTTTATAATTTCCATATTACATTTCTCATAGTATGGACAACTTTTTTGCCACTAACTGAATTCTCCAGATGCTCACATGTAAAATTTCAAAAAAAGCCACAAATATGTAGTCCTAAAGATGTTGAATAATCATTTTACAAAACAGTTTTCTGAATGGGGATTAGTTGGTGATTGTTTGTAACAAATATGCTAATGCTTTAGAAATGTCAGTATTTTTGTAATTATTTCTACCTCTAAATATATATATATTGTCTTTCACTGGATAACGTGTGTAGATTTTTACATGTGCCTTATTTGACAATGCTTATGTCTTGTTCTTGCTTGTCTCATTTGAAGTTCTTTTTTATTATGTTAGTTTAAAGGATGCAGCTGTATAGATTCTATAGCTTTCATTTTATTGCTATTTGAAGCAGATGTTCACCACTGTCAACAAGAACTCAACCTGAATTTAAAGGTGGCATTCCATGTACTGACACCCCCAGGTCCTCCCGAGTACTTCTGTTCAAACAGGTTTGTTTGGCTAGGCACTAAGTTGTTTTCCAGTGAGTAGTAACTAAAGAAGCCCTTCCCTGGCTCCATGGGTTAACGCCTTCTGTTCATTTCCCTACTGCACTAACTGTGCTTGTTACTCTGCCTATTCTTGTGCATGTTTTCATTGATTTCCTTCTGGCTTTTGCTTCTCTTGAAACCGTTGCCCAGTCACTTCTGCTCCACTTCTCCTTCCTCTCGAAACAGTAGTTTATTCCTGCCACATCTCCACGTGTCAGCAAAATGTTGGTGACATTTTCTAGCCTGGCAGAACATATTAACAGGCTATTTCACTTCAAAGCAGACTGAAAGTGACTTCATGTTAAGGCAGCATTAGGTACTGCATGGAAATAGGTCATTAACTTTAAACTCTTACCAAAATATAGTTTACCAGTTTCCAGAATTTCCAGTACAGGACCTCCTGAAGAGAGAGCCATTGTTCAACTCCAATGCAGTGTGGGTGACAAAGTGAAATTTAGAAGTAAAGTTGTCTACTTGATATTTAACTCTTTATTAAATCTTTCTTTAAATTTTTGCCTGTCAGTCTATATTGCTGTTTTTATTATACATCAGTTTCTTTGTATGACTTGTGAGTTTCATGTGTTTTGTTTTTATTATGTAAATATCATTATAAATAAACTTATTTATAAATGAAGGATTTGTTGATTATTGGAGATTTTAGTTTCATGGCATCCTGACTTGCTGAGGTGCTAAGGGTAATAATCCTTTGAGCTTAGAAGGCTAATGAAGCCCTTGTAGTGCTTCAGATATTGTAGTCTGAAAACTCATGACTCAGTGGACTTCCAATCTTGAAGGTATACTGAACATATTCAATATATTTTAGCGTAATGGGGCTAAAAGGAATCTTCAAATATTATTACTATCTCCTCCTGCCTTGCAGTACCCAAATCACTTAGTCAAATTGTTGGGAATATTACCTTTTGAAATCTCATAATGGATTTCTCATAACTTTTCTGTATTAATGTATCTTCAGTGATAGGCCATTTCTTTTGTTGTTGTTAAATCCATAGTTTTATCTTTAATGAAGTGTAGTTGAGTTCTCCCTGTAATGCTCTATTATGTCTTGGGCTTAATAAAAATATTTGTGATCCTAAGTTGTATTTTCACACCCTTTTTAATAGTTTCTAACCCTCCCTCCCTTTACCCTTACAAAATATAATATTGAGCACAAATGAGATCATATTATGTGCTTAGTATTGTCTGTTTCTCAATAAACTGGAATTTGTTCCTTAGGATGTATTCTCATTAGTCCCTTCATTGGACTGTTGTCAGTAGACGTCATCATCCATTATCAGTAAAGAGAGCGCATGAAGCCATGGCTGTTGGAGTATTTTAATTCTTCCCAAAATGTATGGGTCGTTTTCTGATTATACATGTGATGTGAACTCCATTTCTGTTCTGATTCATCCATATCCACACTCTCATGCACTTGCTCACTTGCTCAGCAAGGAGACACTTAATTTGGGTACAGGATGGGGTAATAGAACATGTTGTCTTTCAGTGAAAAAAGATGACCTAAAGGTTATGATGATGCTCTGATTGAAATGAAATGTTTTCTTAGGAAACCTGGTGTACTTGCACTTTATATTTAAATTATGATTTAGGTAGGGGCCGGCCCCACAGTGTAGTGGTTAAGTTCATGCGCTCCACTTCAGCAGCCTGGGGTTCGTGGGTTCAGATCCTGGGTGCAGACCTACACACTATTCATCAAGCCATGCTGTGGTGGTGTCCCACATACAGAGGAAGATTGGCAACAGATGTTATCTCAGGATCAATCTTCCTCACCACAAAATAAGTTATGATTTGTGTAAACAAATGGAAGTGATTCATAATTTAGGTAAGCATTGTATTTCTAACTTTTACTAAATTCTCTTTTCATTAAAGCTTATCAAAATACATGGAGGAAAATGAACATGCATAAGAGAGAAGAAAAGTTACTACCTTCATTATCCAAAGTATGACTTGAATTTATTTTGTAAAAAAGTTTTTGCTTCAGACTGCATTGACGATGTGATAGAGTACCTTGCCGTGAGATTCACTCATAACCCATTATCATTTATTAACAGCCACTAACGATAAAAAAATGTAATCCAGAGAAGCCAGGTGCTTGGGAAATCACTTTGTTTTTGTGTGTAATCCTTAATAATGAATGAAATAGTTAACATTTTTTCCCCATTTCATAGAACGTTGCGAGGAAAGAAGCCCCTTAAACAAGAGCATCCTTAGCTGGGCTTTCCTTTTCTCCTTTTCTCTGTTCGTCTCCCACACTCTCTCCGTTTCATGTCCTCCTTCCTCTACCCTGCCTTTCGAGTATAAAGCCATCTGTTTCCATAATCTGTTTCCACATGTAACATGACATACTAAGATTCAGACAATCCAATATTAATAGTATGTTTGTAATTATTTCTACCTCTAAATATATGTATATTGTCTTTCACTGGATAACGTGTGTAGACTTTTGCATGTGCCTTATTTGACAATGCTCATGTCTTGTTTTTGCTTGTCTCATTTGAAGTTCTTTTTCATTATGTTAAAGGATGCAGCTGTATGGATTATGTAGCTTTCATTTTATTGCTATTTGAAGCAGATGTTCACCAGTGTCAGCAAGAACTCAGCCTAGAGTCTGGTTTGGGGCCTTCGTTGTATCCAGTCAGCGATGGCAGGAATGGCTTGGACTTTCTTCCGTACCGTCACCAGCCTGGGATGGACATCCAACAAGTCAGGTTTAAAGACCAAAAGTGTGGTACTGCAGATTTCCCAGTAGAAATCTGCCCAAGTCACCTAGTTTAAAGGAAACAAAAATTTCGACTTGAACATAAAAGGCATTAACTACTTCATCGAAAAGTAGTTTCTTTTTAATTCAAAATAATCTGTTACTCCAAAAGTAGAATGTGTATATGATAGAAAATTATAGATTACCAGATTCCTAACACCCAGAGGTTACTAATATTAACACCTTGTGGATAAGGTATTTTTCTGTGTGTGTGTATGCATGTATTTTTGCTAAAATGAGATCTTACAGTACATACTGTTGTAACTTCATTCAGTCTCTACCTCTCTGTGACAATACATTTTCATCTTATCTAATAGTCAATATTTTTCCATCTATTGCAAAAGTGTTCTTTATAGGACAAGGCAGAATCCATTCTAGGACCATGCATTTCATCTGCTTATGTCATTTAACTCTCTTAATTCAGAACAGTACCCTTTTTTTCATGGCACTGAATTATTGAGTATTCCACATTAGTCATGCAGAATGTCCTGTCTTCAGGATTTATGCAATTATTTCATCTTGTTTACTTTGTTCCTTTATACTGTAGAATATAAAAGAATAGAATGCGGGCCAGCCCAGTGGTGCAGCAGTTAAGTTCGCCCGTTCCACTTATCGGCGACCCGGGGTTCCCCGGTTCGGATCCCGGGTGCAGTCATGGCACCACTTGGCACACCATGCTGTGGTAGGCTTCCCACATAGAAAGTAGAGAAAGATGGGCACGGATGTTAGCTCAGCACCAGTCTTCCTCGGAAAAAAGAGGAGGACTGGCAGTGGTTAGCTCAGGGCTAATCTTCCTCCAAAAAAAAAAGAATAGAATGCAAGTTATCCCTAGAGAGTTCATAGTTTCGAGTTAAATATTTTTGGCTAACACATTATATTGCATCACATCAGAAGACACAATATATGGGTGTCTGACCATGGTGGAGCCCTAAGATTGACCACTATATTAGGGTGATGACAGCCTGGTCTTACCCTTGTACACTTGTTTGTTTTCCTTTGTACACTTTTTTTTTTTCCTTTGTGACTAGAAACTAATCTGGATGATGTTACTTTGGCTCTGTATGAATATCAATCAAAGAGTGAAGTTTAAATGTGGACTATTCTTAGTTTTCTTTTTGTATGGAATTTAATGATGCCAATTGTTAGTGTTTTATTAACTTGCTTACTAAACACCTGTCAACCAGGAGAGTCTATTGGTGAGAGGGCTCAGATTTCACTCAACAAATAGTGATGCAGTTCCTGCCTCCCATGTGCTGTGTACAGGTCTAGGTGCTGGCACTGACTGGGGAGCAAGATGTGGCGCAAGCCCCTTCTCTGATGCAGATTTGATTTTAGAAGCAGGAAGACAAACATGGAAACTGATTGATGAAGAAGAAGTGCCATGATGAGAGGGACTCTCAGGTGGTCAGCGGGGGACGACTTTCAAGAGATGACATTTAAGCCAAGGCTTGAGTGGTAAAATGGATCCAGACGTGCATTGATCTGGGAATTAAGCATTTCAGGCAGAGGAAACAGCAAGTGTAAAGGCTCTCAGGTGGGAGTGTGACTTGTGTCTGAGGAACAAACCAAACACCAGTGTGTTTGGGACACTGTGAGGAAGGGAGAGAGTTTACAAAGGAATCTTAATAGTAAGCAGAAGAAACACACACATTTTAAGTCCTTAGAAATTGTTCAAGCAAAAGGATAGGGAGAGGAACGTTTTGAGAAAGCCTACTGAGAAGTCAACGGGAAGAAATGAAGGGGCGAGTGGTGAGGATGAGAGTTGAGAATCAAGATGTGGCAAATTTGCTTCTGTATCACCCCAGGAGGACTCGGCAGACTGTTCAGAACAGGTCACAAGAGCACCACAAAAAGCAGTCTGTGTCTTGTCTCCGAGAAGGCAGGGACCCCGACCTTCCACAGCATCTAAATCGGATTTAGATTTGATCTTTTTGGCAAGACTACTTCAGAGGTAGGTGGTGGTGTCTCCTCTAACAGTAGGTGAGTAAAATCTGGTTGTCTCACTTTTTGTGATGTTAACAATTATTGGTAGTCAATGCCTAGGTCCGATAATTCATCAAGGGTTGGAAAATGATGATAGTTTATTTTCATCCCTCCTTCTTAATTATTAACTGGAATACTCATGAAGACAAACTTTGTCTATCAATTTTTGTTATCTTGAGGTACAACCAGCATAAGAAAGGCAAGATAAATGCTTTATTCAAACCCTCCAGTTTTGTTTATTTCTAAATTTTCAGAATAATAATTTGGTTCCATAGCATCTTCTAAAAGTAACCAAAGAAGTTTGGTTTGGTTTAGGGGTTTGTATGTGTGTGTGTTTGGTTGTGGTGGTGGTGATTGTCATAAACTCAGGGATTCACTCATTTTGATTTGTTTCGATCCACTGCAGTTAATATTCTTACTGAAGCGCTTTTGATACAACCCCAATTGTCTTTGATCATTTATTTGCTTCTGATATGACACCTCATCTTTTACATTTCCCATTCCAAATGGAGAATGAGCCATTTCTCCAAGAAGCCCTGCTTCCTTTTAGTATTTAGAGACCAGATTCCAGGTCCTAGGGGTGCCCAGGACAACTGGGTTGGTCACTGTTTCAAGAAAAAGAGATAAAAACTGCTTTTTTCTTTATCCTAAGGTAAAGAACATCCTGAGTTTAGATTGTTAGTTCTGGTTCACATTCAGGAATAGGATATTTGCTTAATCTCACTGATGTTACGTCTCCATCTAATTTCTCCCACACTGAGGATTCTGGTTCTCAATGACATCCACATAATTTCTTACTGCTTTACCCCACAATATAGACATTATAATATTAGGGGAAAAAAGATACCACTCTACCCAATACCACCAACAATAGTTACTCAAAATGGTATATGATTTTTATTTTTTGTCCCGAGAGAATATCTATAAAGAGACATATAGTGAAGTTACTGTGTTTTACAAATGATGAAGTTTCTTAAAACGGTCCTTCATTAATAGAGTACAGGGTCCTTCTCTACGTGCTCTGTGCGTCCATTTGTCACAGGCTCATTTGTCTCACTTTGCTTTTGCTTTGCAGTGATAGCTTTTTAAAATGTTTTTTGTTGTTATATAATTATATAAAATATTTTAGTTCATGGTTCCAAAGGTAAGTTCATCAAAAAAGGTTTATTCAAAGATGTTTAGCTTTTTATCCCTGCTCTCTAACCTATTCCCTCCCCATGGTAACATTTTTTTCTCAAGAAGTTTTTATAAGTTTTTGTTTTATCCTATTTTATATATATAAAGTATATATATACAGAGATATATATAATATACACATACTTCCTATATGTTATATGTTATATATATATTATTATATATACTTACAAACATATGTATTTGCATGCATTTTTTAAGATGTAAAACATACTCACAGAGTTACCAATCAACCACTCTTTTTCCCCTAAATATGTGTCCAAATCTTGCAGAAGATGAGGTGCATCATAGGTAAGTAGCTCATTAAACGTCTGATCCTAGGAGAGGCAGAAAAAAGATCACTTTAAGGTTAATAGGAATAAAAATAAATAATACGATTTGAAGAGGAAGTAGGTTTTTCCCTCTTTCTCCTCCCACATGAATTCAGAAAGGAAGGTAAGAAGCTATGTGTTGTTGGCTGTTTTTTGTTTCAAATGTATGACACTATAGAGATTCAGGTCTGATTCTCTAAAGGTCTTAGTCACCCCTGTATTACTCATGGATTAAAAAATAAATACTTTTGTCACCAGTTCTTAAAATTTTTTTGTATTTAATGACTAAATATTTCACCCATAAAATCTTTTCATGATTTTCATCTTAATTTTTGTTAATGAAAATGATTCCATTATGTTTTTACATTTGTAAAATTCTCCTTTTTCTTAGCCCCGCTCCCTTTAAAGTTTAATAATATAACTGAAGGCAAAGAAATTAATTCTATGTTGTAAGGCTAGATTCCTCCAGTTTGGCAGTCTTTCGTTTCACCATTGCACTTAATGGAAGTAACCCATAACGAACCATCATGCTCTCAGGTCTTTATGAATGTTCTCTCTTTGGTTTGACATTGTGCCTTAGTATGAGATTTGTCTGCCTTGAATATAATCTACAAACCCCATCATCTAGATGCCCCCTTTTGATATATTTGAAGGTAATATTGAAAACCAAATAATATCTTTACAAAAGAAAAATTAACAGATCTATCCATTTTTTTTAAATTGTGTTACTCTTTGAATCTCTGAAGACCAAGTAATTTATTCATTGTCTCTTTCTTGGTAAGAAGTATTTATTTATATATGAAAATTTTGGCTGGTTTGTATTCTGAAGATGAAATGTAAGCCAAACTCAAAAATATTATAAAATACATATATATCATTTAGTAATATTCATAAATGACCTGTAACACAATCCAGCCTTTATTAAGGTAGGTCACATAGTGGATAATGACCTCACCAATTTGCTGATTAACTTCCTGTTATTATTACGACTTAGGTAATGTAGATAATTGTAATATCGTGCCTTACATTTGTAGAGTACAGTTTGGAAAAGCATCATTACTTAATTACATACATTTGCCAGATTTTACAAACTGAAGCCTGGAGAGCTTGTCATTATTTTGACTTTATATTCTTTCCACTGTTCTAAACCACCTCTTGTACATACAGTTTTCTCTCCATGGTTAATACGTTCATCGTTTTAAATAAAACAGTGTGAGTTCTTCTGCCCCTTACACAGAATTTGTGAGCCGAGAGGCAATGAGCCCAGAGCCGAGTGGCACATCCCACAGCTCAGCTCTGCTCAGCGTCAGTGGGAAAGGTCATGGCCCACGTGGCTGTCCTGGAACAGCTAGAAACAGGAGGGAGTTGAGCAGAGCAGGCTGTAACTGCTAGACAGCTCTCCAATGACTGCTGTGTGCTCACCTGGGTGATTGCGTCACTTTTTGAATGTGCATTTCCACAACTGAGGTTGCACTGGTGCTTGTGTACATGCAGTGCCAAATAAAAATCTGGTCTCTGTGCTGCTGACTTTAGCCCAGAGTCTCTTTACATGTTTGGTGGATCGTCTCAGACTCGTGAAATGTAAAGTACTAAACAGCATAATCATCTGTATTTGAGTCGTAGTAAAGAATACTCACCAAAATATCATAAAGAAGATGAAATTTGATTCTTCTTCCTTTTTGCAAATGTGTACTTTTTAAAATGCATTTCCTGATAAATTTTAGCCATTCTTATACCTGGTGGACTCAGAAATTTCCTACCTCCTCCCCCAGAGAGTTATAAGGAGGTTTTTTTCACCCTGAGAAGTCATTGCTATCATATTGCATCAAATGGCTTTTAGAGGCATTAGGGAGGGTTGTATATTTCTCCGAAGCATTATTTTTAAATCGACACTACCAAAATCATGTAGTATTGGAAATGGGCCCCTAACATTCCTCCAGTCCTGCTCATCCTCCACCCCGCCCCCTGTTCTTAGAGGAGGAAGCGGAAACAGATACACTGAATAACCAAAGAAACACCAGTGTTAAGTTCAAGGATTATCAGGGTGACCAATGTTCAGAGACATATTTTGCCTTTTAAATTTAAATCAAATTTTTAAAAGATTGGAAATGGAAGTTTCTAGTAATCAGTACAGAAACATTTATAATTGTGTATTTGATAGACTTTTGAAGCCCATATAATAAGAGGCCTGTTTTCACTTCTTTACTGCGTCCATCTTTACTGCATCAATATTCAACTTTTGACAATTTTACCTGACCACAAGGTGGCAGCAATGCAACTCACTACAAAGAGACTAGGCAACGAAGTACAAAAGAACTCTGTATTTTTCATGGTACCCTAGCCAGGTTCTGCTTGTTACTCAGAGAGTCTGTAGCCATCCGCAGTTACTCTGCAACATGTTCTCCCTTCACGTGATTGATTCATGAACTTGGATTACGTCCTGTGAGTTTTGCTTTGTTTGAGTAGGTGGTATATAAGAGCCTTGTTACTCTAATAAGGTAGAGTGTTACTCTTGTCATAAACGTTCAAAGAACATTTTCCTCTGGAAGGTTGCCTCTGTTATGGAGCCTCAGCCACAGAAGGGTACAAAATAGAGAAAGGCAAGCCTATCTCTTGATAAAGTGTCAATCGGTGGGGTCTTTGGCATGTAGAACAAAAAGCTTTAGATACTTTTTTCTAAGTTGGGGATATCTATCTACTTGTCTCTGTATTTATAAGGATATATAAAATATAGATGCCATGTCTGACAAAGAAAAGGAAAAACAATGAGCACTGAACTATATAATAACACTGTATTAATTACAATAGCTAATATTTATTGAACAGTTTCTACCTAGCCATCGGTACTTGTGCTACCATTTAATCCTGCCAACATACGTCAAAGTAGATTCTATGATATCTCTACTTTACAGGCAAAGAATGTGAACCATTGATAGAGAGCTAAGTGACAACTAGTAAGAAAGGAATCAGGATTCAGGGCTGGCAGTCTGACTCCAGAGCCCAAGTGTATTTCTATCATCAAAGCTGAGTTTTTATTTAAGACTTTGTCCTAGTTAGTCGTATATATGTAGATATAAGTGTGTGTGTGTCTGTCTGTCTGTCTCTGTCTGTCTCCTCACACACCTTGCGTTTATGTCAAGGAATCAGTAAATGTGAATAATTTTATGTTCCAAATATCTACTCAAATCAAGAGGTCCTAATTAAATAGTATTTGGAACAAATGTGCTCAAGTAAATTGATAAGGCTGCATTTGTTCTGTGCTGTAGCTTTTGGAAATAGGCCTTAAGCTGTAACATGTACGTAACAATTCATGCCCAGCTGCTGCCGCTGTGGCATTACACCCAGTGGTTAAGAACATGGAGTCCGAGCCAGAGTGATGGGATTTGAATTCTTTCTGCACCACTTACTAGCTAAATAATCTTAAGCAAGTTACTTAAACCACATGAACCTCAAGTTCTTCATCTGGAAAGTTAGAGTAAGAACAGTTTCTTCCTAAAGGAATGCTTTGGGAATTGGTCACTAATTTAAGAGAAAGTATGCATAGCTGATGAGGCTCTGGGTTCTACAGCCGGGCAGTCTTGATGTCTGACTTGGGCAACTCCACAGCCACTCTATTTCTCAGCTTCTTCATCTGCAAAGTGAGCATGTCAATAAAGAACACTTTCCTCATGGGGGCCTAGAGAGGAGCGACTGAGATAAAACACAGAAAAGGGTTTGAACAGCATCGGCATAGGTGAGCGAGTGATGAATTTAGCTCTCCCTATCACTCATTCAACAGGTATTTAGTGCCTGCTGCCTAAAGGCACTGTGGTAGGTGTGGAGGTACACCAGCGAATAAAACAGACATGATTCCTGCCCTCGTGGCACATTCTACTGGAGGAGACAAACAAGGAAGTTTATTTTAAATTATAGATTGTGATGAGCGCCCCAAAGGAAACCACGAGTGGGCTGTAATGGAGAATATCCAAGGAAGTCTACTTAGAATTCTGAATAAAGATGATGGATTTGACACACATATATAACTTTTTCATCCCAAAACCACAATAAATGCATATTTTTGAAAAGGTAGAGCCTGCAAGGAGGTGGAAAACAGGAGAGGAGACAAGAGCAGACACAATCTAAAGCTGTAAAACAGATAGATGAATGGTACATGCAAAAGGAAAGCTGAAAACCAACACTACCTACCCTCCAAACCCTCACGTGGTTCAGGAAGTGGCAGGGTAGATCTAGAAGGGGGTCAGGCGGGAAGGGGGGATAAAATGAGGATTGGAGGAAAGCTGTGACAGAAGTGGTTTTAGCATAAGATCTCCTCCTTCCTCGCACGCTGCTAGACACCTGCCCCTTGCATCCTTCACAGAGGCTGCAGACGGTGAAACAGACGGTCTCTGAGGTGGGAGGTGTCATATACAATGTGCTGAGTGAGTATATGCACCCTGATGCTAAATTCTGGACTCTCGGCCTTCTTTTTGCTACTTGCCTCCCAGAACACTGGCAGTCAGGCCTTTACTTCTGGGCAGGAGACTGTCTTCTCTAAGGAGATGCCTGAAGATAGTGATGTTGAGAAATAGCCCCAAAGGGCCTAGTGATGCTGAAAATCAACAAGCCCCATCCACATGCTGAGAGCTTTGAGTAATCTTTACTTTCTCTACCTTTACCGTGGACTATAAAGGATTCTCTGACTCCTAAAGAATGAAAGAGACCAAAACAAAGAGGAAAAATAGCAACTTTTAACAAACATACAATAGGCAGGGAGTTGATATTACATCCATTAAGTAAATATAAAATAATGTTTTTTAGAAAACAGAGAACATTACAGAAGAAGAGTCCTTATAAATTTAAAAACACAATTATCAGAAATTTTGAACCAAGGAGAAGGGTTGATGAGTAAAGTTGAAGAATTCTTCCTGAAAGTAATGCAAAGAAACAAAGAGATGGGAAGTAGAGAAAAGATCCAACATCTGAATAACAGGAATTCTAATATAATGGATCAAAGAAAAGAAAGGGGGAGGGAATTATCAATGAAATAATTAAAAGAAATTTCCTAGAATTAAAGGACACAAGTCCCAGATTTGAAAGGGCCCCAAAAGAAGAATGCACAATTTGGGCCAGCCCTAGTGGCCTATGGTTAAGTTCAGCACGCTCCACTTCGGCAGCCTGGGTTCAGTTCCCAGGCGTGGACCTGCATCACTCTGTTAGCAGCCACACTGTGCTGGCAGCCCACATGCTAAAAACTAGAGGAAGATTAGCACAGATGTGAGGTCAGGGTGAATCTTCCTCAGCAAAAAAAAAAATTTTTTAAAGACAGCACAATGGATGAAAAGAGGATCATACCAAGACTAATCATTATAAAACTTTAGAACTCTACAGCCAAGAGTATTCCCAGCTTTCAGAGAGAAAAAGAATAAGTCATGTCTGAAAGGTCAGAAATTAGATTGGATTCAGACTTCTCAACAGCTAGAAGACCACAGATAAATGCTTTCCAAATGCTAAAAAAAAAATTACTTTCAATATAGAAATCTATACCCAACCAAATTATGAAATAAGTATGAAGATGAAATCAGTATGAAGATGAAATAAAAATATTTTTAGATAAACAAGGCCCCAAACTTTGTCCTATGCTCAGTAAGCTATTGGAGGATTGCTCCACAAAAACAAGGATGGAAAAGTGAAGAATTAACCCAAGAAAGGATCAAAAGAAACATCCAAGATGATAATAAAGATTCCAGGATGACAACTGTGCTCCAGGGCTCTAGGTCAACCAAACCAGACTGAAGCGGTGTGACACACAAGACAGACACCTCCATACTGTCTGTCAACATCATACCTCTTCTCATCAAGCCTTCATTTTAACTCCTGGAATACCAGAGGATGTGCCCCAAATAAACAAAGGAGTAAACGAAGACAAAGATGGAATCCAGGAAATCAAGAGAAAGACATCCCTGGGACAGCAGTGAAGGGCAGTCTGATGATGACAGCTGTGCAGAAGGCCCAGGCAGCTCTACAAAGGAGAATGGAAATCTCCAAGAAAATAATGGAAATAACAGATTATCTCATATCATTGACCTTGTGGAAAACAGTATTGGCAGGCCATTGGATAGTGTGGGAAGGTTCAGCAATAAAAGCAAAAAGAATTCAGCAGATGAAAAAAGGCAATTACTGATTTTGAGGAGGAAAAGTGAGAAAGGAAATCAAATCTAAGTGTACTACAATGCACAATTCTGTATAATATTTGCATAGGCATGCTAATGTGATGACTGAATAGGAGTTAACCAAAAAACTTTAATATCATTATTTTGGGAGTTTGGGGAAAGGGAAGCAGAGAGGATGACTATGTAAGACATAAATTCTTATTACTATAAAAGAAGTCAGTAGAAACTAAAATTAGCAAATGAAAGAGAGCCATATTACACATTCTCTAGGAATAATGCAGATGTGTAAATCCAAAAAAACAGCTAAAAGGGTTAAAAAGAGGGTGATATCTGAGGAGGGGTTAATGTGAGGAGGTAGGGCAGGGAATCACTGTACTTTGTTTTAAACTTTTTAATACAATATGGTATTTTAAAAGGAACTTTCTGAAGCACCTGACTAAAGTCTGGCAAGTGGATACGGTTAATGGCAGTAACAGCCAACTGATCACATTACTTTTATATCTTGTCTCTTCTCTGCCCAAGGAAAACGTGACATGAAATCATCCAACGTGTCCACAATTGCATCAACTTCACATTGTTCCAATTCTGTTTTTCCAGCCAAATCTATGGAATAGAGAGAAGCCATTTTATGCCCAAGAATATGCTTGATTTAATTTACTATATTAAGACGCTTTTTTTAAAATAGGCAATATATTCATATGGTTCAAAAATTCAAAGCAATTTAAAACAGTTTCCAGTGAAGACTAACTTCCCCCCTACCACCATGTGCCTCATTTTGCTCCCTTACCCACCTACCATATTGGTCACCACTTTTATTAGTTCTTTTGCGTTCTTCCATTGTTTCTTTTTGAAAATAAGAATATCTATGCCACTCAATAAGCACCTCCCCCATATATCCCAGAGATCTATCCTTGCAAGGCCCTCAAGGGCATCCTTGCTCTTTTTCAGCTACACAGGGTTCGTTTAAGCAGAAGTGCCACCATTTATTTAACTAGCCTCAACCGATTAGGTTTGTTTCCACTCTTTTGCTAATATAAGCAGTACTACAATAAATAACCTGTACCACGTACATTATCACTTGTTTTATAAAAAGAATTATTATTATTTTTTGGAGATAAGTTTTGTCAGGAGCATTTGTTTTCTTCCTGGAAACTATAAGTTTAAAATAATAAAGGATTTTTTTTTCTTTCCTGCCATTCGTTGATCATCATTTTGCTAAGAAATAATTGGTCTTCCTAAATATTTTCTCATTGGTGTCAATTTAAAATGCTTCAGTGTGGAATTGTATAAATTTACTAAAAATCAAGGAGCTGTATACCGACAATGGGTGAATTGTGTGTAAATCACACCTTAATAAAGCTGTTAAAAGTGAAGGAAAATGCTTTAGTGATTTAGAGTTCTTTTGTAAACTATGTTTTTTGTGTGTGATGTTCAAAGGTTGATTCTTCTTTCTGACCTTGAAAAGTCCCTCTGAATTTATCATAGGTTCTCTTCACTCATTTTCATCCCTACTTTGACTTCCATGCTCAAGGCTTCAGCTATCAGTTTTATGCAGATGACTCCTTATTCAACATGTTTGGTCCTTTCCCATATTCTCAGCCTCCTTTTAGACATTCTCTGTGTATCCTTTTGGCCCCTGAACTTCCTCAGCAAATCTCAGAATGGAGTCATCACGTCCTACCTCAAACCAGCTCTTCTTCCTTCATTCATTCAACAAATAATTACCAGGCTGCAACTGTGGGTTGGCCCCAACTGGAGGCTACAGCAGTGAACAAAAAAGAGAAATTCCTTACCTGCAAGGCACTTACGGCCAACTGGACATTGAAAGGGTATTGCAAGTGAAGGAATGTTTCCCTTTTTTTAAGAAGAGGAGGAGGAGAGGAGAAAGAGCTAAGAGAATGACAAACTGTCCACGCTGTTGCCTGCCAGCCCCTTACTCTCCTGGTCAAACAGATGCCCCCACATGCCAATATCTGTCTTCTAGCCCTATGCTGATGCTGTCATCACAAACTTCCTCATTTTTCCTCACTCCTTCTTTTCCGTTGCTGTCTGAACTATTTCCGATGCATCTAACTGTGCATCGCTGAGGTCACGCCAATCAAATACAAAGTATGCCAGAATAATCTCCCCCAGCTCATAGCTATAATCACGTTGCTTTTCTAGATGAAGACCTACAATTGAAGTAAGACAGAGAAAGATAAATATTGTATGATCTCGCTTATGTGTGGAATGCAAAAAAAAACAATACCAAACTCATAGATACAGAGAACAGATTTGTGGTTGCCAGAGGTGGGGGGATGGGTGAAAGTGGTCAAAAGGTAGAAACTTTCAGTTACAAGAGAAATAAGTTCTGGGGATGTAATGTACAGCATGGGGACTATAGTTAATAACACTGTAGTGTATATTTGAAAGTTACTAAGAGAGTAAATCTTAAAAGTGCTCATCACAAGAAGAAAAAATTTCTAACTGTGTGGTGATGGATGTTAACTAGACATTGTGGTCATCATTTAGCAATATATACATATATCAAATTGTTATGTTGTACACCTGAAGCTAATATAATGTTATATGTCGATTATATCTCAATTTTTAAAAACCCTACAATTGCTTAAGGAATGACATCCAGTCTCTGGACCTTTTTAACCAGGGCTCAATCTATTTTTCTATTGATTTCTCTTTCTACTTCTCCTCCACTTGGCAAATTTGAAGGTCTTTTCTTTTTCTCATGCCATTTTCTCTCTCCCTGGAATGTTCTAGCCCAGAGATGCTCAAGTGAGGTCCATGGACCAGCTGCATCAGCATCATTGGGAAGTTGTTAAGAAGGCAAATTCTTGGGCCCCACCCCGGGACTACTGAATCACGATCTCTGGAGTCAAGGCTGAGCAATCCGTGTTTTAATGACCCTCCAAGCCATCCTGATGCACAGACAGTTTGAGAAATCCTGCCCAAGTCCAGGTCTTCCTCTTGAAATTCTAGGCATCCTTTAAGGCTCAACTCAAATGTCATTTTCACTTCCAAGTCAAATTTCCATAGTCTGAAGTAATTGCCATCTCTTCTAAACTTCCAAAGAATTTTGTTTGTTGAAACATGTGTTAGTGAAAACCAAAATTTTTGTATTTTTAACACATACACATTACTTTAGACCAAAAATGAAGGTCTAGTAATTATGGCCCATTTTATTTGTGAGCTAACCACGTGTCCATGGCTTGGATCACAGTGGTTGTCAGGGGAGGGGAAGAGGAATAGGGTGGGGAGCGGGGCATGGTGATTCTGCAGACCGATTAGAAAGGCACTGTAAAAGAAACCAAACATAGCTTTTTCCTCAAAAAGAGTGTTGGGGGGGGTCTATGGGGGACTGTATGAGGGTGGGAGAAAGGGCATCAGGCAAAGAGGAGAACCAACAGTTTCTGTATTTCTCCTTATCTCACCATGGTCGGGAGATGATCCAGAAGCCAGCTACCCACAGAGAGCCTCAGGTGGCCCTTGGTGGAGGCAGAGAAGACTCCCCTTCTGTTGTTTTCAGCGTGATTAGGAGGAAGGACCTCGAGAACATGATTTTAACAGTCTGCGTCATTTCAAGCTCTGTATACCATATGTCTTTCCTATTAATTAATCTTCTCTGATAACTTATGCTAGGCATGCTGGCCAAAGTTTGGATTCAGACATATCTGTCCAATTTTCTCAGTTAGGGATTGGGGCAAGGAAGTGTGGGGCAGGAGGGGCAGCAGGTGATAAAAATAAAATTATTGTCTGGGAAACTCATGGAAAATTAAACTGATACAGAGGGGACATTTACATTTCTCTAGCATTTAATTCCATTTTTCTTTGTTCAATAATAAAGTTATTTAAGAAATATTGAATATATGTCATGTATTTTTTTCAGTTATGAAAAATCTTAAACACAATAAACCTATTACCTGTGTTTCTGGTCAAGTATCTTGCTATTGCGAGGCTCTGGTGAAGGTTAAGCCCATCGACTTCCAAAATGGGGATTTTGCCAAATGGAAGAGCTTAAAATGAAACAAGCAAAGAATCAACTTCCATAACGAAATCAAGTTGTGCTACTTCCATTTTTGCTGATAATTGTGGAAATAAAGCATGATTTTGAAGTTATGGAATTCTTGAATATTTATTCTAAAAGGGACATTAGGGACCCTCTAGTGGAATGTTTACATTTTACAAGTTTAAAAAAAAAAAGACCTGGTTAGAAGACCTGCTATAGCCAGTGACAGACCCGGGTCTGGGACCCAGGCTTACAGTGAAACTAGATATCATCTCGTGTACTTACTACTTAACTATTTGAAAACCTTTCTTTTAAAGCTTCATTAATTTTGTGGCCTTGATCAGGGATCACATGAAATATTTTTAAAACCATAGTCTGAAGAATATGGAGAGTTTGACTGACTTACTGAGTTATGGTAAGGAATTTAGCCAAATTCTTATTTCGATGAGGGACTATTTGAAGTGTATAGTGAGGCAGCAAGCATATTTGTACAAACATAGGATAGACACAGCAGATGTATTAAAATTTTATCTGTAAATTCTACTTTGTTTTCTTATCTAAACCTATTATATTTTTGTCAGAAAGTAATGCACATTTTAATAGAAAAATTCTAAGATGAAGATAAATAAAAATAATTCTACCACATAATTATAACCATTTTAATTGCCTTCCCATATATATTTTTTAAAAAATCATAATGTATATAATGTTTATAACCCACTTTTTTCATGTGACAATATCCTTTTAGAATTTTTCTAAATCAGTGAAACTATCTTTTTAATGACTTTTCTTTATACTTTGCCATATGAATTGATCACAGTCTTCCCAACCAGTGCCTCAGTTTTGGACATATAATTGTTTAGGAAAGAGGCAAAAGGATAAAGTTCCACTCTTACTCCCATGACGCTAACACAGCTCTTAGCCCCAGCCTTCAAGTGTCTTTCGTGCGCACACCGAATAAGTACAAGATGAACTGCGGATCTCCTCGGGAATGAAACATCGTGAGTACTCACCTGATGAGCGCGCCAGGTACTGTTCGAGTGCCTGAGAGACGGTAGCGAGCAAAACGAAGTCCCAAACAAGCTGACACGAATTGTGATGCCTTATTTAAGCAAGGTATGTGATCAAGAGGGAATTAACATGCCTAACATTAGGGGGGTGGGGCGGCGCTTCCTTTGTGCTAGGCATTGTTCTAAACATTTTACACGCCCATTAGGTCTTCTAGTCCTTACAACCACCGTATGAAGCAGGCGTTAATTACTATCTCATTTTATAACTGAAGAAATGAGGTGAAGAGAGGTTATGTAAATAGTCCAGGTCACACACCTGGTAGAGATGAGATTCCAACTGAGGTCAGTTGGAATCCTGGCTCAAGCTGTTTTGCTAGTTCTAAGAGCCATATTTTGAGAAAGACATTAAAAATCAGAGCAAGCTCAAAGGAGAGTATCCAAGTTAGAGGGGGTCTAAAATCACGTTTCATGAGGATTGGCTGAAGAACATGGCACTCTTCACAGGAGGAGACAAAACAAACAGAGTGGAACATAACAGCCATCTCCAGATACGGCCCAGCTATCAGATGGAAGAAAAAATTGACTTAGTCTGACTCTCTCTCAAATGCAGAACTAGAACTACAAGTAACAGAACAAAAGGGCAGATGTTAACTCAAGGCGAAGGATAATTTTGGTCACACTGGAACTACTGACAACAGAATGTGTTTTCTTATGAGATGGTGAGCTGTCACCTACTGGAACCATTTGAGCCGAGCTCGGGATAACTGCCAACAGTTGGAATATTGGGGTGCATCTAACAAGAAGAAATTTAAGAAGACAAATGCTAAGTCCTCCATTTGGTTCTAGAAAAAAATAATTTCAGAACTGTTGGAGGTAACAGGGTCACCTGTCCAAAAGCTTATGAGGAATTTAGTGATGCTTGAATATAAGGCGTCAGTGTGATACAGCTACCAAAATAACTACTGTGATCTTGGAAAGATGTATCAGAACAATAATCTAGACCTGTGCTAGAGCAATGGTCCCATTCTGCTTTGTGCCGCTCTTGCGACTGGAACGTTGTGTCTCCCCACAGGCACCACACATTAAATGGCAGACATACTTGCGTCGCGAGGAAACTCAAACCAGGGGATATAGATGGAAGACTCAAGGAAGAGAAAAGAGTCTTCCCTTGGGCCTAGATGTGATTGCAGATCTCAGATAGTCTGTGGGAAACAGCATCTAAATCAAGAAGCAGAGCCAGGGGTGCGAAGGTTGGACTGAAATTCACAACGCTGACAGGGAAACAATCAAGGAAGTTCCAAAAGTTGACATCTAAATAGACGTCCAGACACATGAGTTAGCTGGGGATGCAGGTCTGAATTCACTCGAAGACCTTTATCTTCACTCCAAGTATTTTCACTGAACTGGCTACCCAGCACTGGCTTTTTCTCTATGATGCCTTAAAGGTACTAAATTTCTTCAAATAACTTGATGTGAAAGAAGGAACAATCTGTTCTCCATGGATTACAGTGATAACCCAAGACCAATGTATGAAAGCCATCAGGAGATGGACTCCAATTGTGTATAAGATTCTTTTAAAAGTTCTCCTTCCTTCTATTTTCTGTTCTCTCCTAGAATTTCATTGAGATGTTGAACCTCCTAAACAGATTGATTCTCAATTTTCCTTGTCTTTTTTCTCTTATCTTTCATTTCTTTTTCCTATTGTTGTACTTTCTGGGGGATTTCCTTATTTTTCATCATTTTATTGACTTGTTTGTATCAAATTTTTAAACTTTTCGTCCCTGAATATTCCTTTCTAGAGCTATCATATTCAAGCTTGATTTCTTTGTCCTTGTGGGTCTTTGCCTTTTTTTGGAAAAAAAGTACCTTAATGTTATTAAAGGAGAGAAAAAAATATAAACACCTGTGCACAATCTACCAGGTTGGACCAGGAAGAACTTTTTAGTAGAAAACCCAATGATATTCTAGGCCATAGCGGAGGAGATGCCATAGAAAGTTTCAAACACTAGAGAGTATTCCTCAATTGAATAGATGAGACCAGATAAAATTTGTAATAGAAACTGTTTTTCAACATCTGTTCTTTCCTTTTTTCTCAAAGTAATAAATCTTGGATTTTTAACTGGGCAAATGATTATCCACAATAAAGTCAACATTTTCCAACTTCCCTTGAAGTACAGTGACTACGTTCTAGCCAAAGGGATGTAAGCAGAAGCGATGTGTGAAACTCTCTGGTCAGGCTCTTAAAAGGAAGAGGTGTGTCCCCTTTCCTTTTTCACATGTATGAATGGAGTGTAGAAGGAGAATGAATTATCTTACACTGAGTAACTGAGACAACCCACTAGGGGTGACAGGTCAACAGAAAAGGAGGAGCCTAATTTTTGACAACTTCGTGGAACAGAATCATTACAGCAGCTTGGGCTTTTATGCAAAGGAAATAAATTTCTATCCTCTTTAAGCCATTTTTTGTGTTGGCTGTCTGTTAAAGCATTTGAAACTATATCCTAACCATCAGGAACTTTGAGATCTCTTTCAACTCTAAGAATCCATGAAAATATTAAGAAAATGCAGCAATTCCATTTCCAAAAACATAATGAAAAATCAAGGTAGAATAGGGTAAGAGGCACTCAAAGAACTTATATCTAAAAATTGAAAGGCAGAATTTGTTATATGTAACATCTCTGCAACTTGCTATCCATCTTAATTAGTAGATAAAATTAATTTTTACCTATTTTATGTCCACAGAATTAAACATCCCATGTACAAATTCTGGTATTAGAACACATTTGGATATTAATGGTAACGTTTTATGAGAACAGGAAATAAGATATCCTATCCCACTAGAGCAGAGTTCTCTGATAAGAAAAAGTGGCTATGGGGACAATGACTTCTAGGGAACTGATGCTTCCAAAAAGTGTGTGGCAATATTTATTGTTAATATACCAATTATCCTGGTATTATTGTTGTTGGCATTATCTAGCACAAATAACTTAGCCATATTATTAAACTGACCTGTGTTTGAAAATCAGCTCTACCTTGTTAGGGCTATGAACCTGGAAAAAGTACCTAAACTCCATGTGCTTCAGTCATCCCAACTATAAGAGAGAAACAACAATATATCCCACATAGGCAGACTAGAGAAATGAAATGACATAGGGTCTGTAGGGAATCTACAAAAGGGGCCAGATCGTCTTCAAGGACGTGACAGTTGTTTTCCTCAACTTCATTTTTATGTGATTCTGTAATAATCCACTCATAAACGTGAATTTTAGACATGTAATTAATATCTAGTTCGTATTTCTAGGTAACATGGCAAGCATCTCAAGGATAATTTACAACTTACTGAGAACCACATACTGTTGTTTGTTTAGGTAACAATATTTCTAATTCTTTGCCATTGCCTGAGTGGTAAGTAGCATGTTTTCATTGGGTCACCCGCCCAATTTGCCAATTAGTTCTTTCCTCTGATCAAACAGATCCCAGCTTTGTTCACAGATCCACTCCTCTCTCATAAAGCCACATGCCTCATGAAAACTGATTCCATCCTCGAATTCAGAGGTGGATCAGACAGTTCTAAGGTTGTCCTCATCCCTTTTGCCAGTGACTGGCTCAGAAATGGACACGTGACCCAATGTGAGCCAGTGAGACACAAGAACTTTGCTGAGGTCTTCCAGAAAAGTTTTCCTTCATTCATCTGGGAACACTGAAGGAAACAAGGCTCTCTCTCTTTTTCTTTCTCTTTCTATCCTCTTGATGATGCTGTCCAAGGATGTGAGGCTGGAATTGCAGCAAACACATCGCTACTGGCCTCGTGATACAGCCAACACAGAGGAGAAAAAGCAGATAAAACCATCTTTTGAAACCTGTCCTACTTCGAAATTTTCAATTATGTAATGCAATTCATTTCCTTATTATTTAAGTCACTTTGAGCTTGCTTTTCTGTTAGAGCAACATATCTGATCCATTGTCAAAACATAGATATCTGTGGCAAGCCCACCAATTCCAATTGTCAAGAACATTGACTTCAGTATTCCCTCATTTCAGCTTTCCTGACAAAGCTTAATATTAGTTTATCTTTATATTCTCTGTGAGGTTTTTGTTTTCACCTCGAATAGGAAATTTCCCGAGTCACATAGCATTTACTTAACTTGGCTGAACTGCTGCTTCTCAATGTAAAGCTACAGCAGATTTAAAAACTTTTATTTTCTCATTTCCCTGAGGAAAGATGAAAGGTTCTAGAAACATATTTTTCCCACATTTCCACAAACTATTATTTGTGCTACTTACCTGATTTGATTTCAGGCCAATCAGCTTGTTCTATTCGGTGGTCTTCATACTTTATGTCTAAATATGCAAATATGTAACGGATAATTTCTGCCCTTCCCCTCATATTAAAATAAGTGAGTTTGTAGTTTGGCATGGTGTGATTCTGCAAAGAGAAAAATGGAAGGATTATGTTAACAGCCCCTTAGAGAAGTTTCAACATGTTTCTTTGGGGACTTTTTGAAAATTTTATGGCATCTTTTGAGATAACTGGAGATATTAGAGGATATTTCAAAACCAGAATAATTAATCATTATCCTAATAACATATGGGGAAGACTTGATAGAAATAAAATCAAATTCAAATTCTATTTATAAAAAGACTTGAGAGTGAAAGGTTATCTACACACCAGCATTCACAGGAGAGAGTCAAAAACTTTCCACTTTAAGATGTATTTGTCCTGCCTTTAGTCATGTGTCATGGGTGGTGTTTGACATTTGGTTTGTTGTTGCTTTGGTGACACAGCTGAGTTTGTGAGGACAGCTGAGTAAGGACGGCAAGGCAGGGTGCATGCAAGAGGAATGTGAGCCGGTGTGCCAACCTGCCATCCCCTCCCTCCCTCGCCCGAGGCCTTGCCCTCTGAGAATCAAAGGCTTAGGGAAACATTGCTCTCTTTGCTCTCTTACTGCTGCCGGGTTTTACTGGGTTGCTTGCACCATACAAGCATACCCCATCTTGGGGACTTCTGGTAGGATGGGACAATGGTGAGCATATTCCTCCATTCCCTCTACGGAGGAGCAAGAAAGAAAGAAAGAAAATTAGTCTTACATTTCAGAACGTTTGCTATTACTGACCATATTGGTTAGATGGAGGTCATTATAATTTTGTGAGTTTTCTGTGATTTGTATCATCTCAATTCCATCGTTTATAAACAGTTGATTTTAAGCATTAATAATATGATGTATTATAATTTTATAATGATCAGGCAACTGAGAAAGAAACATTTTCATTTGAAATTCAATTCTTCCACTTAGTTGCTGTGTATCTTAGGGCTAGTCAACAAAATCTTTCTGAATTTCAAAGCCCTCTTTTTATAGAGACACTAATATGGATTTGGGGATTTAATAAGGTAATACACGTAAAGCATTTAGCATAATGCTAAACACAATAATTATTAGCTATTAACAGTAATAACTTTGAACTTGTTCTATAGTCAAGAAGAAACACTGTGAGTACAGCACACCAAAATAAATAATAGAGTAATTAAATAAAAATCATAAATAACAATTATTTATTTAAAGTGGCACGTTTAAATAGCTTATTCTCCACCGAGGAGGTCTTCCAAAGATACTAATGGAATATGAGATAAAAAGAAAAGTTGGGCTCAAGCCTCAAAATCAAGTTCCATTTGAAATCACATCAAATAAACGGTCAAACACAAATCACGAAAATCTAGATTGCCAAGTTCATATCTCAAGTTAATGCGTTCATGGTGTCTGTCTGCAGAGAGGATTACCAGAAAACTATCTGGTTGCCTACCTAGACCCCCTCAGGATCCAGGAAATGATGGGGATGACGATTCCTAGTGAATCCATTTCTCTGGGCCCAGCTTCTCCATGTCCAGAGGTCATGGAGTGGAGGTGGTGCTCCTTGTTGGAAGCAGAGTCACCCTAATCATTTCATCTCCTGTCCACTCCCATTAGCCAGTCCAGCCCCTACCCAAGTGAAGTGTGGCACATGCCACACACATCAACATGGGAGGGAATGTCCTCTGCAGAGAAAAGGCCCTAAATTCATTTAGGGGAGAAATACGCATAAAGGGAGTTCAAATTTGGGGGACTAAATGAAGTGCCCATCAGAACAATGAGGCAGTTTTCCAAGTTTCTTAGAAACATTGAAGTTAAAAATAAATAGTGAGAAAAGTATGAGGTCACAAAAGTAGTAATAAAAAGTATAAAGTAATAAGGTTCCCTCTGAAAAAACAAAACATTTTACGTAATCATAATAAAGGGAACATTCTTACCGAGGAAATAAAAACATGTTGTTACAATTCCCTAACTTATTTGTTTTAAATCTGAAAAGGACAAAAAAAGCCTTCAGAATGGGAAAAGTACCGTTCTTAGTTGCCACTTTTATTTAAAAGGCATTTTATACCATTGCTTAAATTGATTTGTGCTGTTGTAGGTCAATTCTTCCATGGCAACAAAGAAATTATATATATTTTCCTTATAAACATTATATATGTGTATAGATTCATTTATGTCCATATGATCAACATTAAAAATGAAACATTTGGTCAAATATCACACAAATATCAGTGTCCACCTCCTGAATCCTGCATGAAAACAAAGCGTGGTTTGTGGTTGTTGTTAACTTGCAAAGCCGTGCTATTTTATATTGTATTTCACTCAAGTAAAGAAGACACTTAAAAATTCTTAGCATAGGTTGATAGCTAGCTGTATTTGTCTGAAAGCAGATCTTTAAATCTAAGATTTGGCACAACTCCATGAACATCTGACAAATGCTTATCATTCCTTCTAGAACATCCTGTCAACCGTCGTTAACTCAATGAAACTGTGCATGCACATCACATTCCTGTAGTTACTTGCATATTACATTTTACACTGAGCAAAAGTCTGGTTTCTTGATTTCTACAGCTACAAAGTTCCAAAGTTGAAGACTTACTTTTAGGATATATGTGCACATTTTTATAACACGAAAAATAAGTAAAGGTAAATGCAGTTGGAAATATTTACTGATTCTAAAAATCCTTTCTATATTTTATAAAGCTTTTACATAAGAACTAACAGAAAAAATTCCAAGTAAATGTTTCTATGGCCTAGGAAAATATAAGGAAATTTACTATAAATGCTAAATATAAGTATAGAGGATACTCTCTGGAAGAATTTTTCTCCCTCGTATTGCATGTAGCAGTATATCTCTGTTACAATAATCTCACTTTGTTAAAGCCTTTGTTTCATAAGGATAATGGACTAAAAGGATGAAGGTAAAACATCCCCACCCGACTAAGGGGTGAAGCTCAAGGTTAGAGCAGGTGGATGGCGGAAGGGCGCTGTGACTTTGGAGCCACCCCACCACTCACGATCTGAACGGCCTTGGGCAAGTTATCTGTTTCTAGCTTTAGTTTCCACATCTATAAAAGGGTAGTGAAAATATAGTATAGTTTCCTCATCTGTAAAAGGGTAATGAAAATATTATGTGTAAAGTACCAACACAGTGCTTGGCGCACAGTGTGTGTTTAGAAAGAAAAGAACGAACGAAAAGGGAGACGGGGACGGAGAGAGCGAGAAAGGGGCAGTTCCTGCCCCGGGAGAGGTTAGAGTCAGCTTTGTGTGATTGACTGGACTCCAATCCTCAAGATTGTGACCTCTGATAAACTCATCCTGCTGCAAGCACACAAACAAGACAAATTAAATATAAAAGGAAAATTTATAGTGAGGATTAGAAGCAAGATCAACTTTGCCTGGACCAAGATGAACAGACAGAGGACCCAGCGAGCAGGCCCCTAGTGGGGAGGGAGGTGAGGCCAGGCAGGAGCTTAGCTCCTTCAGAATAAAGGAGAATGAGACCCTCCACACAGCTGGGAGCCTGGAGCGATGTGTGCTGGAAAAGAGCAACTGGCAGGCTGTTCCATGAAACTTTTAAAAGGTCAAATTGCAAACCTCTAGTAACACTGATAAAGAGGGAAAAAATGTAAGTCACAAATCATTAATATTACAAATAAAAAGGGCTCCTAATAGCAGATAAAATAGATATTTAAAAATCATCAGCTAACACTACAAATAACTTTGTCACTAAAGTTTGTCACTAAAAATTAAAATGGAAAAATTCTGAGAAATATATAAACTGACACACTCAAATCAAAAAGAAACTGAGAATCCGCATTTAACAATAACCAGTAAAGAAACTGAATTAGTAACTAGTTATCCCAAGAAAGACACCAGGTTCAGGTGATTTACAGGTAAATTTTACCTAATCTTCAAGGGCAAGGTAATCCTTATCTTCTACAAATAGTTTCAGACAATTGAAATATGAGAAATGTTCAAAGATATTAAAACACGAAGTTTGTAGGCTAATCTCACTATAAACATAGATATAAACATCCTAAGTAACTTATTAGCTGTTCAAATTTAGTAGTGTGTAAAGAGAAATAAAACATAATGACAAGATAGTGTTTGTCCCAGGAATGCAAGCTGTTTCAACATCAAAACATCCATTTGTATAATATACTACAATACTAGATTTAAAAGGGAAAAATCATAAACCATACTATCTTCTCAATAGATGCTAAAGAAATGCCTTAAAAAAAGTATACATAAAATTAATCACTTACCATGTGATCAACACTTTTTAAAAAAAAAATTTAGCAAACTGATAATAGAAGAAAACTTCCTTAACCTGATAAGTGTCTACAAAACACTTAGAGCAAACATCATACACAATGGGGAGCCAATAGAAGCATCTTCTCTAATGTTAGGAACAACAAGAACCCCACCATTACCCCTACTATTCAACATGGCCCTGGAAGGCCCAACCAATTCAGTAAGCTAAGACAACAGTAGATAAGGCAGGAAAGGAGTGAAAAGGAAGAGACAAAACTGTCCTTATTTGCAATCAAAATGACTGTGTTTAAAATCCAAGAGTCTACAGATAAACCCGATCCTAACTTTTGAATGGAAATGACCAGAATAGCCAAGACAAATCAAGAGGACAAGACAGGACCTGACCTACCAGATGGCAAGACTTATATAAAAAGCCTCGTAATTAAGGTATGTAATATTTGTTCAGGACTAGACATATGGAGATGCACAGAGTCTTGAAAAAGATGCTCAGATATAAGACGGCATGACCTTACAGTGGGGACATTAAGAGACTAGACAAAAATGGTTCTGAGACAAAAGAGGAAAAGTATACACAATTAGACCCCAACTTCCCATAATTCATAGAAATAACATCCAGGTGGATTAGAGACCTAAATATGATTTGACTGGCCTAGGCAAATTCCATTGCCGTGCTGATCTCTTCTGTCCTGTTAGCTTCATTTCTGAGCCCTTCCACTGTGATTCTGTGTTAAGAATCCCAAATAGGGAAAGTTGCATATATTTCCTGAAATGATACAGAAACAAGAAGTAAAAAGGTTGATTATGCTTACACTAAAACTAAACACGGGTGTCCTTCCACTCCATGTCAAGTCCCTGATTCAGCAGAGAAATAAAAAGCCCTTAGAATCCTGCTTGAAAAATAAGATATACAGTTTCTCAAAGAACATATGAATGATGACTAATAAACACCTTGGATACAAACTTCCACATGTGAACTCATATGAAATTAGCATTAAATGCAAAAGGAGATTTAGCTTGTAGTTATGTTAAACTTGTTGAGAAATTAAATCTTTTACATGGAAATGATAGTGTTTTTGACAAGTGCTGTCTTGGGTCCTTCCTTTCTTTCTCCTAAGTTTGTAGCTCTTTTTACTCTATATAACACTGATACATTTCAGCCGACTAACAACAACAAAATACAGGAGCATTCAATCCCAGAGGGAATTTTAATGCAGCCATTGATAAAATGCAAACTATCATAACATAACCATTTAATTTTAACTAAGGCGGCATTCTAGTCTGTATATTGCTGTAAGAGCAAAGAAAAACATAGTCTCAAAAATTCTAGTCTATGCCAGAAAGGTGACAACAATCCAAATTCAACTCTGGCAAAGGAAGTTAATATTCAATGACCACGTTATGCACCTTAAAGATTTCAGCAGATAACTGAAAAAAGGGATAGAATTTTGGGAGTAATTTTGATGGACAGAAAACTTACAAATAAGGAATTAACTATTAACCTTTTACAACTGAATTCCAAACATAAATGCTATTTATCTTAATTTATTTTATTCATGAAAGTGTTCGTCTCCAGGAGCTCTTACTCTGAAATAAACAGGACTTCAAACATACTTGGGAATTCCAGATACAGTTTTATATAGGCCTAGCGATGGAGCAAAACCTATGAGTTCGAAGTAGGAAAACAAAGATTAATTTGTGAATTTGCCAACAGTCTTCTTTACTACGTCTTAACTTGACCAGGAATAAACCTATTCATGTAGTGGCGTGGAGTATAATGTTTGTACTCCCCTTGTATAGGCTATTGTGTTTTGAAATGAAAAATTGGATTCAGACTGCAATCCCGTGAGATGCCATTATCTACACAGGAACTTCTTGTACATAATGACGTTAATTAAGAACACTGTATTACCTGCTAGCAGTTGGTGGTAAAGTATTTTGATTTCCCTTATTCACAATGTTCCTGAGCATTTCTAGCTCAGTTCTGGAAAAGTTGCCAGGTTCGAGTTAAATGTAGGACAATGGAGAAATATAAAAATGTTTGTTAACTGAGTAAGTTCTTGAATTCAATCAAACACTGGATATTTAATTTTGAATTGGCAAGCCGGGATCTCTAATTTCCCATCAAAGGCCAACTAAATACCATTTGCCTCACATTAAAGCCAAAGCAAGAAGAAGAACAGAAATATTTTCTGGGAGCTGTGAGTTCAAATTCCTAGATGGGGTAAATCCCTTAAACGACATTTGAAACCAAATTATAATAGAATGCAATGCTTGGCATAACATGAAGACACTTCAACCAAATGAGCCTTAAAGTGATAGAAAATATCACAAATAAAATCCCTGAATTTAAAAGAAAAAAGACAAGTGAAGAACCATGAAATGAAATTCTCTACTGCTTCACACATTGAAAACAGCACTTGGGAAAATTGTGGAAGAAGTCACCAACCCTGATGAGGACAGAATTTTTCCTCTGGTATTGACTGTATTTTCTGTGTTAAAATCCACTCGAAGGATCTTTCAAATTCTCTTAAAATCTTTTAAAAACTCTCGTACCTGTATTTCTCTTAGAAACTACCATTTGATTCCCACATGGTCACTAACATAGAGAGGCTCCAAATGAGACAAAGTCAGAGTAAGTGAAATGGCGAAAATAGGTGACAAGACAGTCACTCAGTCACACACAGACTATGATAGTAATAAAATTAAGCCCTAAAATGAAGAGTGAAGACTACCTCATTTCTAATCTTTGTAGAGTCCAGTCATATCACTTACTTGTGCTGCGTCTCTGTGGAGTCTCCAGTATCTTCTATGCCCTCGTACGTGACTGCAACTTGGCTTCATATGACAAGTAAGTGACAGTCACAAGCCAATGAAAGAGAAGAGGCAACTTACTTCCACCTAAGTCTCTTCTTCGTTTCTTAGATGGAACATGCCTGGTGTGCAGTGCGAGCCTGCAAAAACTGCTGGTTGTTCTTGTATCGGATTTCTGTGTATAAAGAACCTCGGATATTTGCATACAGCTGGTAAAGTCAAAGTTGTAGGTGCTGACATGAGCCAACTGCTACATGTTCATTTATTTTTAAAGTTTTGCACCACAAGCCCCTAGAGAATGAGAAAACGTGAGCACGAGTGGACCCTCCTGACAGGCACACAGGGCCTGCCTTCTCACTCCTTGAGGTCTCCTGGGAGCTGCCCTGGCTGACCACGCACCCACGGAACCCTGCGTCTGCAGTGTCGCACCTCGCCTGCTGTGTGCTTCTCCGCCACAGTGTCTGACCACAGTGTGTGCCCGTGGTTCTCAGCCTCCCCCAGGGGCATGCAAGCTCCAGAAGGGCAAGGACTTCATTGCTGAGGGTACTCTTGTGTCCTCAGTATGGAGAGGAGCGCCGGGCACGTTGTAGGCACTAATGTGTATTTGATGAATGAACGATCCCAATTTCTATTTCTCCACAAATCACCTTTTTACAAGGACTCTAAATTCTCATTGCCGCTTCACCTACACTATTTCCTCAAAAGGGTCACACTGTTTAAAGCACACCAGAGTAGAAGGTCCTGATACATCTCATTGATAATCTTTATACAGACTAGTAACAAACGTCTAAATGTTTTAGCAATTTATTTTTTCACTCCTGAGAGCAGGACTTAATTCCAGCTATCATATTAGGACAGCTCCGGGGGAAAGATGGAGTAAAATGCCTGCCTGTGCGTTATTGGGCCTGCAGACTATCCATGAAACATTGTAATGACAGGCTGGCTTCAACTTCCAGAAAACTGCATCCTAGGCAGCAACAGCAACCTATCAGTCAGGTAATATTTTCTATTTCTAAGCACTGTAAACTTTGAAAAATCTGTTTACATCCATTTATGGTAAACATAAGTGAAAATAAGGGGCTGGCCTGGTGGCATAGTGGTTAAGTTGGCGTGCTCCACTTGATGGCCCAGGTTCACAGGTTTGGACCTGGCATGGACCTAGCGGCATCGCACAGAAAACAGAGGAAGATTGGCACAGATGTTAGTTAGCTCAGCGACAATCTTCCTCAAAAGCAAAAAGAGGAAGACTGGCAACAGATGTTAGCTCAGGGCCAATCTTCCTCACAAAAAAAAGAAAAGAAAAGAAATATAAATATTAGTCTGTAAAAAGTTTAATTAAGAAGACACAAGGACAGCCCCTTACCTTCCAAAAAAGATATTATGTGAGTCAAAATCAAGTGAGAGTGAAATGAGAACTATACAAAATTAACACTGTGTTAATTATCTTTCACTGTGTTTCAACTTACACTTTTAAAAAATCTTTTTGTCCTCATCTCAATCATTTTTAATCCCCAGTTTACACAGGAGGAAACAGATACAGGGAAATTGGCCAGGAATTTGGGATGGGACAAGCTAGGAGTAAACCCTAGGCCTTCTGATGACACAGTTAATATTCTTTCCCTAGACAACGCTTCAGTAAAAAAAAAAAAAAAGGAAAAAAAATCAGATATGCAAGAAAGAGCACTTTCCTCATTTTCTCTAACAATTTTCTGCTTTACAACCCATTCTGCTTGGCTGGAGAAAAACCGAAAACAAATCACGGATGAGGGGAGGGGCAGCTGTTTGATCCTGATCATGCGTCAACACAGGCTGTCCTGGAGGCCGCCACTGCCTGTGTGGGTGGCTTCTGCATGGTCCTCGTTCTGCCACTCTCCCGCCCACACGTGGCAGTGTAGTCACCGACAATGCTGCCTGAGGCTCCCGCTGCCCACCACCCACCACCACCATTTCCTCAATGTGGTCTTGCCACCTCCCCGGTGGCTCAATAGGGCCCTCGCATCTCTCTGCTCTCCAGAACCACAGATTTCTCTTCCTCTCTCTTCTATCCCAGCCCAGGTGGGGACACTGCAAAATCCCCTCGTCTACGACCAGCTGTGGGACTTTGGGCACGTTATTAACCTCTCTGTGCCTCCCTGTTTATCTAAAGCAGTAAACAAAAACAGACACAAATCCTGACCCCTCTGGGGCATTCTAAGGATGCTCGTGATCACTCCCTCATAGGGTTTTAGAGCATTAAATGAATACAGAGATACGTGCTTACAAGGGTGCCTAACGCCTGGTTAGAGACCTGCGTGTTAGCCTGCTAACACTGTTGGCAATTCGTCTGAAAGGAGGCTCTTACCTTCGAGATGTGTGCTTGACGAATTCGTGCCCTCTCTGTGCTTGGGCTTTGCAACTAAAAGCCAGGAAGAGAGCAGTCGCCTAGCACTTTTATTTTTCACCCTGCCGTCACCCTCTCCTGAGGAAATGAGCACAGACAGACGACCTGCACGTGCAGGGGTTGAGGGACAGGCGGGGAAGAGCCTCCGACTCTCCCGCCTCTGGGCGCCGCCTGAGAGCAGCCCCGGGATCACGTGACCAGCTCGAGGCTGCCGTCTTCCCAGCTTGGAAGCATGTTCGAGTTCAGTCGAATACATCTGCGTTTTCTCCAGCGGCTCCCAGATTGGAAAACTCTTACCCCTGTGGTATTTAATTAGCAGGTTCCTAACTGCTGTTCGTTATCCAACGCTGACTCGGAGTCCAGTTTTGCTCTTGTTTTCCTTCTTTTCCGACCTGTGCAGTAACCTGGTCCTACGACGTCCCGATGAGGGCTTCCAGTCTGCACGACGACTGCTCACCCAGAAGTGGAATCTCCACCCCGCCGCCTTTCAGCTCTGGAACTTTCGGCAGATCCCTACCCTCTCTCAGCATCAGTGTCCTCATCTGTAAAGTGGTGATGACAAAGATCATCTGATTTCTCAGTTGAAAGGATTAAACGAGTTAATGTGTTTAAATTACTCAGTGCATTGCTTGGCAAGTAGTTACCTTGTGACAAGTGCTAGTGGTTATTACATATTTCTCTAACAGAAAAATGAATATAATGTTTAAAAAATAGCCCACATGTTAGTTCCTCTCTCTTTCTTTATGTCAGTAAAGGGGAAGTGTACAGACAGATCTGTCTCCTTCCCTAGCTCTCTTTGGCAGACAAGGAGGAAGCGAGCTCCCTTTATTTGGCGGCAGGAGTTCCTTTGCACAGTCAGTGACTTGAGAAACTAAAAACATCTAAAACCAGAGTATTTAAACCCAGATGGAGAAGGCAGGAGATTAAGAATATGTTTCTCTGCTTCTGGCTATCTGGGTGATTGAAATGTGCTTGCAAATCTTAAGTGTCTGTGTTTTCCCACATTTCAGCCAGGATAACACGATTTTTCTTACTTGACTCTTCAGAGGCTGTGAAGACTGATAGAGTAACTATCTCGAAGGTTGTGCGTAGATGTTTTTCTGCCTAGCCTCATGGCTGAAAGATGATTCTCAGACAGAAGCAATTAATGGTAATATAAATAGCTAATATCTGCTAACTGCTTTCCGTGGGCCAGGCACTGAACAAAGTGTTTGCCATGTATTATCTCATTTGTCCGCAAAATGACCTAGCAATTGCTGTGCACATCCTGGAGTCCAGTTATGTAACTGACTAGGGCATGTCATGAAAGCATTTCTAGATGTAAAATTCTTCAAACATTTGAATCTTGTTCCTGAGATTTCACGTTGATTCAGCTGTCAAGAATGGGGAAAACAAGCATTGAAATAGAGTAAGTTAACTTGTTTTTCAAGATTTTTCCACAACCAATTACTGTCCCCTTTGTATCATTACCCCATACATTGAAAGCATGCGTTAGACGCCCCCTGTCTTTTCCCTGGCCTTCTACCCAGAATCTCATCTTCTCTTGGAACCTCAGGGCTTGCAAAATAAAAGAGTTGCCCTCGTGACTGCTGAAGTCACTTTCTGCTCTATTATTCAGCAACATAATTCTCCTCCTGAAGACATTTCTCTGTCTTACACGATAACTTGAATGAAAACTAAGTCCAAAGGGATGTAGAGTTCATGGAATGAGGGCTCCAGGGGGACAAATTATCTTTGTCCCCAGTCTAGCAACAAAGACAAGATACTCAGACCACGGGAAGCCCACCCTGTCTGATAATCCAGGTTCCAGGGTGGGCCTACTATTTACAGATACTAAAATAACACAGACAAAAGTGTAATTTCGAGAGCATTTTCACTTTCCTGGAAGTTATCAAGAAGCAAGCAACCAAAATGTATCTATTAAAATGATTTGTGTATTTGGATTTTTTACATGTTTTAAAAATATATGAATCTGAAGAGGCATGTTTTCCTCATGAAATTAGAAAGAGGAGATTTTGGAGAATAAGAATGTGTCAAAAAATGTCCAGGACTACAGGGGACTAGTAATAGCAAGCATTGATGTTCGTGCTCATCATGTCCCTGGTACCCACTCAGTGTTTTAATTTGTGGAGGTCTCAAAGCCAGCCACCAGCAGATCCAACATCTGAGCCAGCCAGTGCGCCTTCAGAGTCCCCGCTGTTAGTCACTGCATTCGATCGTCCCATAGTGAAACATACATTTCTCACTCTATCAGGCTTCTATTATCTGCTGACACCACTTCTCAGGATTATTCAACTTTCTTTAGCCCGCCTCTACATATCAAGCAAATTTCTGATGTAAATTCGCTCTCCTAAGCTAGTTTCTTCACCATCCCATTCTAGAAATTCATCTGCCTTCACATCAAACACAGGATTTCTGGCAGAATTGTTTCACACCAGCCTGTAAGGCAGAGAGGAAATTGTTTAGAACAAAGGAAATCAGGAGATCTTGGTTCTGCTGACACAGCTAACATCTGCTGCCCTCTTCTATAAGCGAAACAGCTCCAGTGAAAAGTGAATTCTAAGAGATGGCTACAGAAATCAGATGAAGCTTCAATCCTTGGAGCACAGACTTAGACGAGACTATTAAAAGAACACAGTTTGTATAGGAAAGAAGAAGCAGTTTTCATTTATAGAAAAGTAAAACAAAAAAAAAACAAGATCCAGAAAACAGTGAACAAAGTTGTGGTGAGAAATATTTTTCTGGCCTCCAAGATACAATTTTGCTACGTGAGTACGTTGGTTCTTCATACGCCTGAGCCACGTGGAGAGGAAACAGCAGCTGTTTCCAAAATGCTGGGACCTAGGCCACAAAGACCGGAAGTGGTCTGTTTTCTGGCAGTATGTACATCTTGTTGATGAAACATTTTCAGTGGCTCCCGGGAAGCTGCAGGCCTCGAGTTGGATAAACCTCCGTGGCCTGGGGACAAGATCCAGCATTGTCGCTAGGCCTGGGGTTTGGAGGAATTTATATAAATGATTAAAATTTGTCATCTGTGGACACCAACTGAAAGAAGATGTGTAAATGTGATTCTGGAAAGAACTGAATGCTTCCTAAACATTAACATGGTCCCCACGGCCCATTTAACAGATGCCAGGCACAACAGTGCTGTGATCGCGACATCTTTGTTTAATTGGTTGCTAGGGTGGTTTTGACCATTTGGCTTCCTTCCTCAAAACCCATTTGATTTCTGCTCAAAGTTCTATATTCTTTCAAAGAGAGCAACCTGCCTCAATCAAATACTTCTGTTTAATCAAGGAATGAAAAGTAAACACAGAAATGAGTAATTAACATGAGATTATCACTCACTTAACATTCCTGCAACCAACATGTATAAACACTGGTGCCAGCGCTGTGAGATGTCTCCTATAAAGATTTGATCTTATGACGTGCGCTTTTTGGCGTCTGGTAAGAATACTTGAAAAGAAAAACTTCGTAAGACAGTTTTCAGGTTTCCATCACTGTCTGAGATAAAAGATGCTTTAGTAGACAGGTGCAAGTGTTCTCTTTCCCTGAGATTGATCCCTCCATTGATTAAGCTCTTTGTTCAATGACCCAGTTCTCTATAATTCGATCTAACACTTGGAAAGGGGATTTGCTAAACAACAAGAATGTTGCGATTTATTTGGCAAATGCATTTCTTAGAATATTCTAATAAATTTATGTTTTGTTTTTTCAGTGATTCATGAAATCCTGAGTGACCTAATTCAGTTTCCAAAGAGGCCAAACTAGGGAGCGGATCTTGGATTAACAGAGACTTGCTAATTACAGGCATTTTGCTAGGCCCAACTTGAAAAGACAGACTTTCTTTTCTTCAAATAAATAGAAATTCATATGAAACTGTATATTATATTGATTAAACTGCATGCTAATATGCTACAATGTTTTTGTAAATGTTCGGAATTAAAGCTTTGTCCTTTATTTTATGTCTTCAGATGTAGTGGTAATCCTACATCAATTTTAAATTTCTACTTGGTTCCTGTTTCCAAACAGCAGATTCGAGATAAGAATGCTCTGGACTCCAGCAAAGTCTGCTCAGTTCCACAGCTCAAGCAGAATGGTGTGCTGATGCCTATGAGCTAGCAAGATTCAGTTGCTGTTCATGGTTCATTTTTCAATTTTACTAAATGCAAAGTATTGCATTGTTTAGAAAAAAATCAAAGGCATGTTTTATCAAAGTCAAAGGCAACTTTTAACACACTTTGAATTTCAAAATGTGAAGTTTGAATTTAAATCAATAGAGTTTAATTTTAGTTCTCATTCTTTGGATCCTATTTAAAAAGCCCCGTTTATAAATTCAAAGGACAAGGATAGCAAAATTCCTGAAGAATGTGCTTTTTAAAAAAATAAGTGTTCAAGCTTTTTTCTGCATTATCTTAACAGTTTTATTGATGGAAGTGTTCAAACTAAATGTATGGGATTGATCTCCAGAAACTGAAAAGTCACAATTCTTATACATCCTTTTCTTGAAGTTTTTAAAATTGCTTTCTCTTTTTTTACTATTTGTATCTAACTTAAATCCTATTGTTTAAATTTCCAAACTTGTTCTTCCCAAAGCAGCTGGTTAAGCATGCCATATTAACAACACATCTTAATATCCCTAAGCCCCACTAAAAAGACAGCAAAAGCATAAGAAAGGTGTGGTCAGCAAGGACAAAGAGAAAGGGGAGATCAAGAGTATAGGGAACATTTCCGAAAACATTTTGGCAGAAAGGAAGCAGGTGGAGGAGTGGCCCTGAGCAAACCATGCAGTCAAAGTTGTGACCCAAGTTTCCCCGAACGTGGGGAAGAGGATGCATACCGAGGAGATGCCACCCCAATACCCTTGAAGAACCCAGGAGCCACCAGGGCGCAAGACCCACAAAAGTGTACTTGAGATTCAGGACCAAAAACAAGAGGATTGGTTAAAAGCCAGCAGAGAAAGCATTGCACCCCTGGTTGCCCTACCTTTCCTCAACCCCTACTGCCCACCCTCTAGCCTCTTGGTCTTAAAAGAAAAAGTAGGGGGGAATCTTGGGGAAGCAGACGCCGTGCAACATATGAGATATAAGAGTATGTATTCTAATTACTGAAGAATTTTCTTAAAGATGTGTTGTTTTGGAAAATGATTTCCATAAAATTTAAGTAAAATGAGAAAATTGCAGCCCATTCAAATATTTGGTATGCTTATTTCATAATAATGATAGTTGTGGGGCTGTTTAAGGCACACAGCCAATCTGGAATGCAGATGTTAGACCCATTATACAGATGAGAAAATCAAGACTGGGAGTGATTAAGTAACTTGCCCTGGGTCATACAGCTGTTAGGCAGTGGTACTAGTACTCACACTCAGTCCTGTTGATAACAAGGCTATGCTCTTACAACTACCCCCAAATCCTTCACAAAGTTTTGGTTTACAACCACTCTGCACTAAAGGAAGATTCTTCGCCATAAAGAAAGATGTGTTGTGGGACATTCTCTAC